TCTTAATTTTTAGGCGATAGTAGAACATACCTTGCGCTTTCGCTTAAGGTATGCAAAATCAACACTTGATATTGATGCTTATCTTAAACAAGACATAAATGACATTAAGAGATGCCATTCAGGCAGAGCCGGGCGCTTCGCTAGTTAAATCAACAATTAAAACTTAGTAACATATGATGTGTCAGAAGTGCGTCGACATTTTTTTTCTAAGATTGTTAAGATTCTAAGCTCGTGGATACGGGTTGGATTCACGGAACGGAGCAAAATGAATTATTGGGTTGTTCAGGTGGTGTTTCACGACCGTGCCCGTCGCATCGCACTATCAGAAAGAGAGAATAGAGTGCACTGGTGCTTGCGCTAGACTTGTGCACTATAATCCTATCACTCGGATATTTACATATCCGAGTGATATATCCGAGACATACTCTGATGATACTGGCCGCCGTGATCGTAATTTATTCTGAACTTCTGGAGAAATATTAAGAAATATTGTTATTGTTTAGGCCAAACAATTAACGTTTGAAATTTGCATTCGCACTCGTTCCACCCGCTGACTTGTAAAGGTAACCTTGGCCCCACTTCCGTGCGTCGTCAGGTAGAAGGGCATTGCATTTGCAATATTTAATTTGCTCGAGTGGCCTTTGATATAGTTCGAATACGTTTTCGGTATTAGAGGTGTGTTACGCTTTAGTCTAGTGTTAGTGGCGTCTGGAAGTATAGTTAATAGACTGTCCTAGTGAAGAAGGAAGAAAGTGACGCGGGAGATTACCAGGCGCCGAAGTCCGGGCTGCTGCCGACTTCGAAGGTCCTGGCAGGTCTATCACCACCAACACCACAAACCACCACTATACTCAACACATACACACCTACGGCCTGACCGAGCCTTGAGACAGCAGTCGCCTCACATACTTGTAAGTAATATCTATTTGATTAGCCTCCCCTTTAATTGTAGTAGGATACAACATTTTCCATATTGTTTATTGTGATAGAACATTTCCACGCGGCCATATTGGGGGCCGACCTGCGTCTGCTCGTGAAGTCTTCCGCTGATGGGCCCCAGATGATTGGACCTTTGTAGGAGCAGCCGTAGACCGTAACAAAGTGGTAGCAGAGCGTGCTTCCGGGTTCGATTCCCGGTCGAGCCCGACCGTATTACTTGATAAAAATTAAACAATTTTGGTGACAGGGAGCGTTTGTTTGATTGGTTTAAGTTTGTGTCTACAATCACGCCCGGCCGTAATACGTAAAATTAAAATTCTTTTTTTTTTGTTGCTTTGTTGCTTGCTTTTTCTGTTGTTAGCGGGTAGTATGCGAACGCCACGCCCGTAGGTTGAGCGAGCGGGAGTTTTGTTAAGGTTAAGTACTTACTTACTAAGCGGCTCGAGCAGGTCGATGCTCAAAGGGCCGCAGTGGAGGAGGCTTACGCTGAGCTCGAGGATTCGGATGTGGAAAAGGGAGTCCTGGACTCCTGCTTCGCGGAATACGAGCAGTTCTTTTCGCTCACAGACGAGTTGATCGAGGCTGAAGGCAGGTATGCTGAGGAGGCGCGTGAAGCTCGGATGAGTGGCCTGCCCGAGTTCTCTCGGAAGCAGCCTCAGCCGGAGCTGTTAGGACGACTCCCAACTCTGGACCTGCCAAGGTTTTGCGGGGTCTTTTCCGAATGGCTGACCTTCGTTGGTCTTTTCGACAGCCTAGTGGACGCCCGGAGGGACCTGACCCCGAGCCAGAAGATGATGTATCTCCTGGCCTCACTGGAGGGGGAGGCCCTGGGCGTCGTCGGTGACTTGAGATTGTCTGACGACGCCTACCAGACTACTCGGGACCTCCTAACCAGAAGATACGCCAACGTTCGGCGAATTGCGGACGAACATGTTAAGCAGCTTCTAAGCCTCCCGCTGTTTAGTGACCGGGCCAGACTACGTCCGGACCTGGTGAATCCAGTCTTGGTGGCCTGTAATGCGTTGAGGCGGCTGGATTTACCAGTGGGCGAATAGTCCTTTTTGTTGCTCCACATCGTGCTGTCCCGTCTACCTCTCGACCTTCGAATACATTTTGAGGAGAGGTACGGCGGGGACGGGGCCTCTTATATTCCGCCCTTTAATGACCTGCTGCGGTTTTTGGAGGAGCAGTGCCGGCAGATTGAGAACGCGGCGGGTACCGTTGACGACTTACGAGCCGTGCCCAGTGAGAGGCGAATCCGCCGGGCAAGTCGTCGTCAACCCCGCCCAGGCCTATCGGAGCTCCCGCGGGAGGGCGTCGCTCCCTACCATCTTACAGTGGCCTAGCGGCCAGGGAGGTGCCCCCCTGCTCTTATTGTCGAGCATCCGATCACCGGGTGACGTCGTGCCCGAAATTATTAAGTAAGCCGGTTCCGGCGAGGCGAACTATCGCCAAGGAGCGCCGCAGGTGCTACTCGTGTTTGGAAGGGCACTTCCAGTGAGAGTGCACGCACCGGTGGCCCTGTCCGCATTCCCAGGGCAATCATCATGCAGTTTTGTGTCTGGGTGCGAACGGCGTCTCCTCTCGGGGCTCTGCCCGGCCCTCGATCCCCACGGGTGGGGTCACTCAGCCACGCCCTCTGACGGGCGACGTTCGGCGCCCGCCGGCCAGCCACCAGGCCCCTAGGTTTGAAAGGGGTCCCTCCCCCGACTAGTCGGGGGGTAATTCCCCCAGGGGCGGGGGTGTCATCGCCCCCCTCAGCGTGTGGAGAGGAACTTCACGGCCACTCATCAGTCCGCTAGACCCTTCTCACCCCCGTTAGCTGAATGTCCGTGACTGGTGTACCATCGTTCCCCATTTGATGGAGGCAGCCCTAGCTAACTGCCGCCTTAGCTCCCACAACGGCCGCCTCCCCTGAGCCTTGAGCCGTCAACAGTCCAATTTTAAACTGTTCTGTTGCCGACGGCCTCAGGGAAGGCGTACAACCCGAGTGGCGGCTGTTAGCGTTTTGCGCTCTATTAGTCTCGGGTTCACGCGGTGTGGCCTCCACTTGGTGGTGGGAAGATTAGGGCTCCCCTGGAGCGTTGAATTACTTTGTCAAGGAGTATTAGATTTGCTTTTGGTCGAGCACTTAGTTAAAAATTCTATAAATTAAAAATAAAAATGCTTTTGGGTTTTCCGCGAAATTTTCATATTTGTAGCGGGTGTGATTAAAAGGGTGAATTTGATACTCCTTGAATATTTGTACATATGTTTTGTAAATATATTTGATCATTAGGTTTGCTTTGTTAAAAAGAAAATTAAAATTAAGTAATACTGTTTGTGTCGAATGAAATAAAAATCCATCCTCTCTTTGTTTTCATATTTTGTTGGCATTGTCGAAGATATTTATTTTGAGAGAAAAAAGGGGGAACTTTTTGGCTATCTCTTATGTTTGTCGTTTTGCTTAGTTTCTCTGTTTTGATCTATGCGCATCAAGAAATAAATTTATTACAGCTTGTTTACATTGAAAAAAAAAAAACGGTTTGAAAAATTTTTTATGTGGACGTCCGGATTTCGATTTTGTATGTGACTACGATAACTTCCGAAAAAATTGACGTATCGAGATCGGGTGTTTTTTATTAGCTTCAGAATTACATCAATTGGTTCCCCATTCCATATCAATAACCTAGTTCGCGTAGTTTGTTGATAAAATTATTTTCAACTTTTATAAATTTTAATGCTATTAAAAATTTAAAGGCGCTTTCATATTTTTTAGCCCTTAATAGACAAAGGACCAAAATGTACATTTTTGGCTGTAGGATACAGCCTATATCGATTTTATACTTTGTGTAATCGATTTATTTTATTAAATATCATTAATTTTCCCCTGTAGGTTTTTTTTTATAGAATAAGGGTGACAAACGAGCACACAGTCCACCTGATGGTAAGTGGTTGCTGTGGCCCATAGACATCTACATCTATCTTCGTTTGCGAATTAAAATGCAGATGCGTTGTCAGCCGTGAGGACTAAGATAGAATGTCTCTTTTCCAGTAAAAAGGGTCTCCGGTTCTCTACACTCGCCATACGAAACACAGCAGCATTAAGCTGCTATTTTACGCTGGTATTCTGTGAGAGCGTGGTCATTCCCCGGTCGAGCCGACTCATTCTTGCTACAAATATACTATTAATATAGCTGCAGTATGGCTCTACTACGTAAAAGACTTGCCTACTACCTGTTAAAATGATAGAGCGCTAAATTTATAACACGAAAATATATTTTTTTAAAGTCAGGAATACAATTTATTTTTTCATCAAAATTAAATGAAATCCAAAAGTGCACGGCCCCTTGAGCGGTTCATTTAGTTTAATGAAAAAAAAAATAACATAACAAACCCATTACACAAAGTATAAAACCTTTGCCTATCATATACATAACCTAATAACGCTTCGCGTTATGAGGCGTGCAATGGCAGTGCCAGCACCGCTGAGTTCTAGTCTCAAGGGTATAGAGAGTCTGTATAATTACAGGCTGTAAGGTATCCTGGTCCTCAGAGCTGTAGTTTCCTTTGTTTGAAGTTGGCTGCAGGTGTCCATAGGTTGCAATAGCTACTTATTATGAGGTGGGCGATAAGTTCGTTTTGCACTTCAGTTTTGTAAAAGAAAGGAGGTAAATGATGAGTTCTCATGTTCACTTGGGTTTTCAATGTTCAGTGGACTTATGAAAGGCTGTAATGACTGTTTGGCTGTTGAAAGAAAAGGGGAGATTTCCGGGCAAGTTGTTCTGTCCGGGGAGCGGCCAATCCAGTTCGGAGCTATTCTATATACATATACTGCTTTACTTCGGAACTTTGATGGCGCGATTTAGGCTTCGATGTTTTTCAGAATGAAACTGAATGGATAAATGAAAACAAACAATATATTACTTATACTTGCCTAGTACTATTTATAATTTTTTAAACGTATGGTATTACGAAAAAAAAAGATAATGTTAGTTTCCTTATTTATTTTTACTTATTTAAAATCTCTTAATAACGTCGTTAATGAAGTCGGAAACTTAAATTACAATATTTCTTTAGATCTATAATGAATTCCTGCACTCTTCGAATCTCCGCAGCCAGAGCCTGCCGTTCGCGGAGCGGTTGAGTGGTGCGGAGCAACCGTAGCCACCGTTGCCGTTCACCATCATGTAATCAAAGCAGTCAGTGATGCCGTCGTTGTTGCAGTCCTGAAAATGTGAATGACTATGTTCTTAAAACCTTAAAGATATTTCTTCTTTTACCCATGTTCTCGGAAGGACTAAGGTGTTGCATGCCCTGATGTCATGTCATGTTTTTGAAGGCCAATATCGCAGTGAATTAGGAGAGACTTATAGAGAAGAAGTATTTCAGTTTGAGTAGTTTACTTATTTTTGTTTATCATTCTATAGAAACCCACAGTTGGACATGCTTATATTTGGCAGGCAGATTAATGAAGGCAGTACCAGATGCCTCGTACCTTTGACGCTTCCTCCTTGTCGGTCTGGATAATTATCGTATAAAGCCATCTGTCGGAAGCCATAAAATTTTATTGGCTTATTCCATAGTCACTTCTTACTTTGGATCACAGAGCAAAATTGGGTGATGGGTTCTCTTACTCCGAAATTTAGGTTATCAAACAATTGTTATTTTTAATTTTGTACTAAAACTTCAATATACCACTATCCTCCGATTCCGAGCTATGTTCAAAGTTTCAAGTCTCTAGTTCATTGGGAAGTTAGTTTATAAATAAATTACTAAAACTCAGAAAAAATATACACGAAAGCGAAGCGAAAAAAAATTATGATTTCCTATATTTACGCGAACACTACACATTTAAATAAAACTAATTTTACGGATTTTATCGCGTATATTAACTTATTTTATATTTGCGACGTTTCAAGCACTTTACGTCACTCATGGTCACGGGGGGAACTGAGGTGTATGACGTCCCAATGTTATAGTTAACCACGGCTACCTTCAGATTAAAAATTACTAACGTCATTAATTAGAAACGTCGAGAATATAAAATAAGTTAAAATACGCGATAAAATCCGTAAAATTAGTTTTATTTAAACGAATAAAAATAGATTTAGAATGCATTGTCATCGAGTTGTAAGCTACCCTGAAAATTTCAGCCGGATAGAGGATTTAATCGGAAAGTGCTAGAAATTTCAGTATCAAGGACCCACCCGGAACGAAAGACAGACATGTATATAATAAAAACGTGGTAAAATAAGAAACGCTAACCTGAAATTGCGCAGTTCATATAGACTATATATTTGTTGTAAGTTAAACTAAATGCTCAGTTTTACCTTGCCAAATTTTTGTAAGTATCCTTCAATTATTCTTTTCGAGCAATGGTAACTCCTTGCGCAGTCTTCCCAAGCTGAAAAAAGAAGTTAATTTATTGCAAGTTTTTATTGTAAAAAGTAATTAAAAACATAAATCTTTTTCTTCTCTATATGTCCAGGATTTGGAACTCTCCAGCTGAAGGGATTTGCCTAAATCGTTACGCTTGGCTGGCGGATTGACGGTCGCAGTACCAGACATGAGCACCTTCTACGTTGCTGCTCGAAGTCCATCTGGATATTTTACGTCTGGCGTAATCGAAAATCCATAAGACTTTCCTACGGCACCCACGGGAACGAAATGCTATTCATTTTGTTCCCTATCTATGAAATTACCTATTTAATAAAAAAAATTGATTAAGGTACCGCGTAACATATAAAACACACAAAAAACTTACAATAGAATTATCAACCTCCTTCTTTTCTTGGGGCCTACATTCTTATATTGTAACGTGGTAGAGCCAACCTGCAGCTATTAGTAGTATAGTTGTAGCACGGTCTTTTTAGTGAAAAAGAGGCATTCCATCTTAGTTCTCACGGCTGACAACGCATCTGCATTTTGATTCGCAAACGAGGATAGATATAGATGTCTATGGGCCACAGCAACCACTTACCATCAGGTGGACTGTGTGCTCGTTATAACACTACACGGTAATCGAGATTCGAAAATTATAATTTAATCGCTGGGAAAAATCTTGGACGTTTGAGTTCTCGTTTTAAGCGAGATGTGTTATTATTGATTGAGATTCTTAAACGGCTTCATTTCTATTTAGGTCCAATATATCCTAAGAATAAGTAATAACTCTTCAAATAAAGTGACTATTTATACTCCGAGCTATACAAATGTCAATGCAATGGAGAAGGGAGCGTAGGAAATCGTCGTCTTAAACACCGGATAAACGGCTCCTTGGCGCAGTGGCTTAACAATGAGTGCAGCGCTGACGGCTGCGGGTTAGAATCTCGCAGTCCACACATCGAGTCTGAATGTTTGCCCTTGTGCAATTTATTTTGTAAACTGTACATCTTAGTGTGGGGTAATGTATCCCATTAGCCCTCCAGACCGAATTTCGGTCACGGTGGCCAGCCTCAACGTAGACTAGCTAGAAAAACCTATAACAGATTTTTTGGCCCTACCCGGGACTTAAACCTGGGAACTCAAGGTCAGCAGTCGCGCTACTACATTCAGAAGACCAACGAGGTAGTCAACAGTATACAGGTTGCTTGACAAACATCTGCTCCCGAAATCGAAGACAGACGATAGTACTAACAATACCTTTGATGATGGGTCAGAAAGAAAATCGAACCCGAGGAAAAAAAAAACATCTTTTCACAACGTTTTATTAGCGTTATTCATGCTCCATCATGTTAGTACAGCTAAATAAAACGATAATTTCATTAAAAAAATATCATGAAAATCCTTAAAAATAAAAACAGCAGTGTAATTTTAAATCAGCTGACTAGGTTCAATATCCGCGCGGACGCCGAAATCTTTTATCTAGCTCGGTACGAAACTGACGAAACAAAGCATTAGGTATTACTACTCACTCTACCCTTCCATTTCACACATATAATATGTCTAATCGCCTATTTTCAAAATCTATAAATGCAAAATTAATACCATAATTTTCTCTGGTCTCATTTCTGGGTCGGGGTACCTCAATGCCAGCTCCTTCCACTTGACCGCATCCAGCGCAGAGCGGTTTGAATCATCGACGACTGAGTTTTTTCTGATCGGCTCGATACACTGGCACTGCGTAGGAATGTTACATCCCATTGCATTTTCTATCGAATATACCACGGGGAGTGCTCTGAGGAATTGTTCGGATTAATTCCAGCCGTCAAATTTCACGAACGCACATCGCGTCAAAATTCGCGATACCATCTGGATGCTTGGTGCTGGAAGACACGCGCGCGAGAACATACGAAGCAAAAAAGAATAGATGTATGTGCTTCTACTCAGTGTTTATGAAAAACCCCTGCTATTTGACAAAAATAAACACAAAGATCTTATGGATCTAGGTAAAAGTCACGTCAGATACCAAAAGAATATCACTTATTTTATAATAGTTTGATCACAGGCAATATTAATAATGATGAGTCTGACTGTGATTAAAAGAACCTTTTTTTTATAGGATAAGGGTGATAAACGAGCACACAGTCCACCTGAAGGTAAGTGGTTGCTGTGGCCCATAGACATCTACATTTATCCTCAATGACGAATCAAAATGCAGATGCGTTGTTACCCGTGAGGACTAAGATGGAATGCCTCGTTTCCAGTAAAAAGGGTCTCCGGTTCTCTACACTCACCATACGAAACACAGCAGCATTAAGCTGCTATTTTACGCTGGTATTCTGTGAGAGCGTGGTCCTTCTCCGGTCGAGAGGACCCATTCGTGTTACAACTATAGCAGAAGTATAGCTACAGCATGGCTCTACCACGTACAAAAACCTGATTCATCTACTCGGATATTATTTTTTCGTGAAGATATTTTATTTTATTGAATTTTACTAACAAAACAGATACTTCCAAAAAATTAATTGGATTAAGAAGAGGAATAAGACGTTTTATTTTGTTAATTAGCTTTAATAATAAAAAAGATTAAAATATTGTTTTCTACTTATAAGCGTGATGTATTAGGCAATGTTTTATGGAAGGTATATATACTTTAACCGCTTGATTACGAATTGAATAGGTGTTTATGAATAGTAAATAACAAGAAATAAAATTACTTTCTTTTATATGAAAAATAAACAAGCTAAAAGTTTGATAATTTTGCAGATATATCAATTTACTGCTACTTCATCAAACCTATTTTGGACATTAAAATCAGTGTATAATGAGTAAACTAATTTATTATCGTTTATACTGTAGATACAATGTCAGTAAATTAATCCAAGAAAATGAAATACAATTTTATATTTGTGTTTTTATAAACATAATACTTTTTCCTCAAGATATGGTAAATATACAAATACATTGTAAACGAGTGTATGTGGCAGTTAGCTCATTATGGGCCATAGTTTATATGATGTATACTAAGTCCACTACATTATCTTGGAAACTCACTAAAATAGTTCTATTCTTTTATTATCTAAGGGTTTCAAATCTTAAAATAGTATGAATTTAAAAAAATCAGCATTCTAGGACCCAAACTGAAAAGGTTATAAACAATTAATCTTTGACAGGCGCTCCTGTAAAATTTGAATTTTGAAGTTCAGTCATTATACTTAGGAGTAAAGTTCATAAATGTTCATTATCGCCTATTAAAAGCCTACTGCTAAATATAGGCCCTCCCCATAGCCTTGATTTTCACGCAAAGATAACGGGTTGGCAACCGCTTTTTTATTTAACAGTGATCTCTGTATTAAACAGATGTTATTCTCTGATCTCTTCTCTTTCCTCTTACAAAAATGTGATCTTTCCTCTTCCAATAATGTATATAATCCAGTTAATAATGATTTTTAGAGAGGATTTTAATTTAACAATATTTTGCTTAATTTATTTTTATTTTTATTGTTTGATGTTAGGCATTTTACTCACCGTGATTTCTTTCTGGATCATCATCCGGCAATGTTACTCTTCCGGCATCGATCCAGTACACTCGAGATATGTTATAAGGTCCGCAGTAGCCCGCAGTGCAACCGTGCGACGTGTCACATTTTGTGGCGACGTGACACAGGCATCGATAGCACGCCTCTGACAGATTAGTGATGTATATTCCTGATAGAATATTATATAAATATAATGATTCGGTTGATTCTAAACCAACGTAAGCTTAAGATCAGTTACGAAAACTTCTAAACTGATTTTTATCGAAAAAGGGTGATAAACGAGCACACAGTCCATCTGATGGTAAGTGGATACCGTAGCCCATAGAAATCTACATCTATCCTCAATTAAGAATCAAAATTAGCAGGCAGCATTAAACTGCTATTTTATGCTGATATTTTGTGTGAGTGTGGTTGAGCCGACCTATTCGTGCTACAACTAAAATATAGCTACAGCATGGTTTTACTTTTACCAAGAAAACAAATTTATAACCAGTATAATGGTTTTATAAAGTATGTGATGGATAAGCATGCACACAGTTTGTACTGGACAGAGCAAAATCAACATTTCATTATGTAGAATCACTTTACAACGATTATGACAATAGCATGAAATGGTCGGTTCGATCTGGGAAGCACGAAATCTACCTGAAATACCAACGTAAAATGGCATAATAATATAATTCGTGACTAGACTTTTCATTTGTAATGAGGCATTCTAGCTTACTCCTTCAAGTTGATAAGGTCTATGGTTACAGCTTTCACTTTCCATCTAGTGGGCTGCGTGTTCGTTTGTAAATCCATAGTCACCCAAACTTTCATTTGGCACGATCCGAACACACCTCTATCGCTTCTTTTCTACCGGCTTAAAAAAGAGATGGTACTCAATTCGACTTCATGATCTTTTTTTATGTGTGCTACCTCATAACTTCTGGGTGAACCGATCCCGATGATTCTTTTTAGTTTGGAAGCTGGTGCTCCTCATGTGGTCCCATATAAATTTGATCAAGGTCGGACCAATAGTTTTTGAGCTATTCTTAATAAGTTATATTGAAATCTGTTGTACAATTTTTTTACTTTAAATTGTCTTATACATATTCATACTCGTCGTTGAAGGGTAGTCTTAACTTGGCCTATATATTATAATATATCGCCAATTTGGTCGAAAAAACATCTGTATAGGACATCCCTTGCCCACTTTGTCATACATTTCTACTATAAACTTGCTTTGTCAGCCTTTGTGCTCGTTTTTCACCTTTTTTGTGCGAGCAGCTACGCAGGTCTGACTGGTACCACTGCGACTGGTATCTATTATGTATAAATATCTATTGTGATCGCTGATCGGCTATAGTGCACAGCTATACCCTGTTACCCTAAGTGTTCTGTATAAAAAATGTCCTTTATAACTATGTTTAACTTTTTATTTTAAGTAAAAATTGTTTTTAAGTGTAGGTGGGTTGAAGAGTTAAGTTGTTACAGTAGTGTAAATTTCCACACGCTATGTAATATCATGCACTCATAAAACTTTCCACGCTTGTGTACGTGTTAAGTGGATCGATGTAGCCGTTCCCGGTGTTCAGGTACTCTCAAAGTTTTTGCCACAAACTTTAACCGGCTGATCCTTTCATACGTTATGAATTTCAAAGTGCGTAATTATGACAGGAGCTTACAGTAACACTGCTTCTATTTCGTACAGAATATTATATTTGATATATACCAAAACCCAACGTCTATATTAAATAAGTGTTTAGTTTAGTACCGAGTAGTGACGGTGTAAGAATATCCACTACCCCATATCATCCCGTGGGTGTCGTCAGCAGCCTTTTCCTAATAACGATAAAAAAAACTGCGGTTGCCAAATCGCTTGCCAAGCGTGATTATCCCACATATGAGGCAATCTATGGGGGAAGCCTATGTTCGGCAGTGTACTTTAATAGGCTGTAACCGTAACGATAGTTTTCTTAACGATCGGTTCTACAGTGCATAGAATGCTTTAAATAAATGGCTAAAACCATATTATTAATTCAACAAGTTTCCAAAATCTTCACTGACAAGATTGACTATATCTTGAAGTACTATAAGCCGCCGAAAGAGATTAGTAAGTTTTTACCATCAGTTAAGTGTAATGTCTCGCTGTAAGATGCAGGAGTGTACAAGTTTGATTGTGAATATGGTCTCTCTTATATAGGACAAACTAAATGATCAATAAAAACCCGCTTTAAAGAACATATAGCTGTGAAGAATCGACACTCCGGGAAGTCTGCAGTCTGTGAAAAAGAACACCGATTCCTTCCAAAAATCATCTTTCGCGAGGCTTTTCCAATCAAAAAACAAACTAATTTCAATAAAGAAGATGGCTGGTTGCTACCATTTGCTTGGGATCCTATAATTAATAAAATTAAATCCCAACCCAAGCTTACAACTGCATGACTCCAAGATACTGTAAGATCATACTGCGTAGATCGTAACAAAAATTAATATTTTCATATATACGCGATAAAATCCGTAAAAATAATTTTATTTAAAAGCTTAGAGTTGTTAACTTTCAAGTAGAAATAAATAAGTAAGAATGGACTCGATTTTCCTAAGTCCAAATAATTTATTTTTATTTTTTATTTATACACTTTATTGTACAAAAGGTACAAACGGCGGACTTAATGCCATATTATAGCATTTTCTACTAGCCAACCGGAACGTTAGTGGGAGATGCGTGTACTGCAGTGGGCTAGGATGAAAACCTAATATTGATAAATTTCACACATGCACATACTCACACACATACACACGCACACATGAACACACGTACATGTAGATCAAACTTATTTAAATATATATAAGGATATATTAGATTCTATGTAATATTTTTTTTTTTTTTTTTATAGGAGAGGGGGCAAACGAGCATGCGGCTCACCTGATGGTAAGTGACTACCGCCGCCCATGAACAACCGCAACACCAGGGGAATTGCAGATGCGTTGCCGGCCTTTTAAAAAGGAGTAGTAGGGAGTAGTTTTCTTGAAGGTCCCTAAGTCGTATCGGTCCGGAAAAATCGCTGGTGGTAAACTATTCCACAAGGAAGTTGTGCGAGGAAGAAAACATCTTCTAAATCGCACAGTGGTGGACCGCCAATCATCCAGATGGTGTGGATGGTATCGGGAGTTCTGCCGCGATGTGCGTTCGTGAAATTTGGCGGATGGGATTAATCCGAACAATTCCTCAGAGCACTCCCCATGGTAGATGCGAAAGAAAATGCAAAGAGATGCAACATCTCTTCGCAGTGCCAATGAATCGAGCCGATCGGAAAGGGCTCGGTCGTCGACGATTCGAGCCGCTCTGCGCTGGATGCGGTCAAGTGGAAGGAGCTGGCACTGGGGAGCCCCTGCCCAGAGATGGGAACAGTATTCCATGTGAGGCCGAACCTGCGCCTTGTAAAGTTGCAGGCGGTGTGCCGGCATGAAATACTGTCCCGCTCTGCTGAGCACGCCAAGCTTTTTACAGGCCAATTTGGCCTTCTCTTCCAAGTGACCACGAAACTGCACGTCACTCGATATGTCGACTCCGAGGATACCGATACTGGCTGAGGCAAGAAGGGGAGTGCCTTGAAACTGAGGAGATACGACAAAGGGGTTCTTTTTAGCGGTAAACGCGCAAACTTATGTCTTCTGAGGATTAAAATGGACTAGATTTAGTCGCCCCCAATCCGAGACTTTGTCCAGCAAAGACTCGACTTCAGACACAAGTTTGTTCCGGTACTCGGCGACGTTTTCCCGAGAAATATTGGCCCGGCCGGTGTATAGAGCATCACCAGTGCTGAATGTTACCAGTTAGCAACATATCATTGATATGCAGAAGAAACAGCGTTGGTGATAGCACACAGCCTTGTGGAACACCAGCGTTAATAGGCTTGTAGTCAGAACATGCACCGTCTACAACGACCTTGATGCTCCGATCTGCAAGAAAGCTGGTGATCCAATTGCACAATTTCTCGGGAAGCCCATAGGAAGGCAGCTTTGAAAGAAGCGCTTTGTGCCAAACCCGATCAAAGGCCTTCGCAATGTCCAGACTAACGGCCAACGCCTCCCCCTTGGACTCTACTGCCTCCGCCCATCTATGGGTCAGGTAGACCAGAAGATCACCAGCTGATCGACCCCGACGAAAACCGTATTGGCGGTCACTAATCAGCTGGTGATCCTCAAGGTACCGGATGAGCTGGCAGTTAATAATGGATTCCATTATTTTGGAGAACAAGGAGGTGATCGCGATAGGCCTATAGTTGGACGGGTCTGAGCGGTCGCCTTTTTTAGGGATCGGGTGGACAAAAGCTGTCTTCCATGAATTCGGGACTACGCCTTGGGAGTAGGAGTACCGGAAAAGACGCGTTAGGACCGGTGCCAACTCCGGAGCACACGTCCTCAGCACAATTGGGGGGATTCCGTCAGGCCCACTCGACTTCTGGATGTCCAGGGAGAGAAGTGCTTTGCGAACTGAGCGCTGTGAGAATAGCACATCCGGCATGGAGCACTCACACCGCGGGATGGTCGGCGGTATTTTCCCCCCGTCATCAAGAGTCGAGTTGGACGCAAAAAGGGAGCCTAAAAGGTCGGCTTTGTCTTTTGCGTCTTGGGCCAGTGAGTCGTCCTCCCTGTGCAGAGATGGTAGTGATGGCTTACAGAAATTCCCTTGGACAGCCTTGGCGAGAGACCAGAATGCACGGGTTCCCGAAGGAAGGCGAACTAGTTTCTCGCCAATTCTGCCTATGTGCTCTGACTTTGCCTTGGCAATAACTCTTTTGAAGGACCTGGAGGCGAAGTGATGACAGAGTAAAAAATTGTGTGATAAGAGAAGAGTGTGGTTTGCAAGATGATGTAGTGACAAGAAAAGAATGCTTCGGTAGTTTGGTCATGTAGAAAGAACGAATGAGGAAAGAGTGACAAAGCAAATTTATGTTGCAGAGGTGAATGGCAGAGTCGGGAAGCGACGCCCTAGGCGAAAGTTTATCGACCAAATTGGCGATATATTGAAAATGGGCCAAATCAAGAGTACCTTTAACCGACCAGCGTGTATGCGTAGGTATATGGATGTGGAGGAAGCGAGAGAGATGTATCAGGATCGTGCCAAATGGAAGTCCATAGTCTCTGCCTACCTGTCACCCCTCTGGGTGACAGGCGTGAGTGTTTATGTATTATGTTATAGATTATATATTTATATGTCAGATGAGCCCAAGTAATGTTCCATTACTTTTGTTTTAAAAATCCACTTGTTAGGGCATTTTCTTATTGCTAAGAGAAGCGCATTCCAGAGTCGTACAGCTGTAACAGCGAAAGAGTTTGCGAAAAAACCAGTATGTTCCAAACCAAATTATGACAACGTGGAAAACATTTCAACACAAATATTTAGTAGGATGTCTGTATGAATGTATGTAGGTGCGGTGCATGTACCTATATACGTTCCTGGCTAATTTTCATAATTAATTATTATTTAGGTAGGGCTATACTGCAGTTATAATAGGGTTGTAGGACGAATCGGTCGGTCCGATCGGTTAAGAACCACGCTTTCACAGAATACCAATGTAAAATAGCAGTTTAATGTTGCTATTCTATGGTGTGTATAGTGAACCGGAGACTCATTTTACTGAAAACGACGCATTCCATTTTAGTCCCAAGAGATAACTTCAAGTAAATCTGTTAGATCCACAGCATCCACTCAAATCAGGGTGAATATTACTATGTGTTCGTTTGTCACGTTTATCTTCTCTATATACAAATATCGATTACTGTCCGTTAATCGCGCAAAAACTCGAAAATGGCTGGAACGATTTTGATGAATTTTTTTTGTGTGTTTAAGTTCGAGATCCAGAAATCAACCGTGCAAACCCGGGGCGGGTCGTTAGTTCTGTATAAAAAATAAACAAATAATGTTTGTTGACATCGGACTGGTTTCATTCAATGCATAATTAAGTATTAAGAACCTGAACCTGTAATAAGAAGAAACCGCTTAAGTTTATATCAAAGTAGCTCCAGCGGTTTTTTTTTTGTTATAAATACTTATCTGAAGAATTACTAAACTAACATTTTCACAATTGATTTTAAGTCTAATAGATTAATTTGAGCCGTGATAGCTCAGGTGCAAATCGCTCGCTGTACGCGTGTAACCCGGGTTCGATTCCACTTTTATTAACGTGTTTACAAAATTATTGTATGATACTAAAAATTATGTATATTTCTTAATATTACTTTAGTTTATTATTATCTTTTTCATGTTCACGACACAATGTATATTCTTTAAATGAGATATATACATAAAAAAAGTTATTAAATATTTGTTATCTATACAAATAAATAAAATTGAAGTGTCTGTTTGTAATGTCAAAATAACAACTTTCTACTAAATGCATATGAAAGTTAATGTGATACTTATAACTAAAATACAATTTTTAAAGTTTTTGTCTGTCTGTCTGTCTGTTTGTTCCGGCTAATCTCCGAAACAGCTAGACCGATTTTGACGGGACTTTCACTGGCAGATAGTTGATGTGTCATAAGGAGTAACGTGTGCTACTTTTATTTTAGAAAAAGAATTAGGGTTCCGCGCAAAAAAATAAAAACCCTAACACGCGAGCGAAGTCGCGGGGAACAGTTAGTATGTTATAAAAAAGTGTTAATTGTTGTTGCAATTTTAAGTTCAGATATACCACGCCGTAAAGGAAAACATCGTGAGGAAACTCGCTGGTATAAGAATAGAATAGAATAGAGTAATTTTTATTCAATATTGATTACAAGTATTGCTTATTGAAAGTCGCTTTTTTACTTTACCACTGGTTCGAAAAAAAACCTCTGTCCTGGGAAGAACCAGCAAGAAACTCAGCGGGACTTTTGTTTCGTAAATACATTTTACAATATAAACGATTACAAACTATTTACAAAACTTATTTTAGAAACAGCTTGGAAGCGACCACCTCATAATTATATACATTATATTAACTATGTGAAGTCCACTAACATACACTGAAGCGTGTGCAGGCTTTAAATTTACTTTAACTTTTTTGAGGTAAATTTATTAGCTCCTAAATGGTCACAGGTTTTTAGCATATTATTAGACATAGACATAGACATGCATTTATTCAGCAATATACACTCATATAGTTTTGATACAGATAATAAAAAAATACATAAAAACATCAAAGATAAAAGTAAATAACAAAAAAACAGTCATAAAATGATCCGATTGCATGAGTGATGTGATGCTGAAAAGGGCACTGACTCCACATAATGCTATCACACGATTGCGGTAGCGTTGGTTTTCAGCAATGCCCATTGAGGTTGGACTCGCCTGCGAGGATAGTATGTTCGCTTTATTTATATTTTCGAGAAAGATGTTATCAAAATAATTAAATAAAATAATGGAAACGAAAAAGGATGGGAACTTTATTTATGCAGTAGGTATATATAAATGGTAATAATAAATAATATAATCAGTATATACAATAAAACAATATAGATATTTATATAATACTATGAAAATATAATGCAGCTATTTTAAAATTTTATTATGTTAAAATTTTTAAGGTAATCTAATTTCCTATTTAATTTCTTAGATTTTTTATTCTCTTCGCTTCCTACTGGGGAAGTTTGCAGTGTGCACCTCTCCAGTCACCCTCATTTTACTTTATTTCTCTGTAAAACGAATGGTCAACTTTTTTAAATGGAATGCGTATTAAAATAAAACGGATCGTAATGGAGAACAAAAGATTTCTGGAATAGAAAAAGAAATCCGGCACTTGTAATATTTTCTGCTTTTTATAATACATTATCTAAAGCTAGACTAAATGAAAAAGGACTAGATCAGCCTGCTCAAATTCAGGATCAGCCTGCTTTTCTTATTTCTAAGAGGCTTTGAGAGCGGTTAAGGACGCTGGTTTTCCCATTATGTTTTCCATTACGTAAATCAGCATTTAGAATTGTAAAATAGCTGCTTTTTTGCATTTAGACCTAAAACCACTAATCGAGCCGTAAACAGACAGTTGTCCAAACTATTTTGGGCCAAGTACAAACTCTACTTGCATATAATTTAAACCAACCTGTTGATCCTGTTGCCCAGAATATAATACCAACCATTACGCAAACCGGTAACACGAGTTGAATTCTTCTTTTCATCTTCACTTCTAAATTCGCTGTCCCTCGAATCTGGAATACATAACAAAAAAAAATTATAAAGTTTTTGTTTACACGATATCAAGGATATTATTTAGTATATGTACATAGATATAGTTAAATACGTATTATTAAGGGTTACCCATTACCCCATATCTTCCCGTAGGTTTCGTAAGAGGCGACAGAAGGAAACTGAGGCAGAAGATGGACAGCAGCATCATTTTGATAACAGCAAAACAACAATAAAAACTGCGGTTGCCAACCCGCTCGCCAAGCGTGGCAACTATGGCAATATACCCCCCATGATTAAAGTTACGAAGAGACGGCCCCAGTCTCCGGCAGCCCCGCTATTCCTGGCTACGGTTGCGACCATGGTAACGGCGGGGCAGGGGGTGCTAAGAATCTCCGCTGGAGGTTCGGTTGCCACTTAAGACGACTCGACCTGGTAACATATAACGCACGCTCCCTGAGGACTGACGAGACGATCCTGGAGCTCTAAGAAGAGATAAACAAGTGGCGCTAGAATATTATAGGATTATCTGAGGTCCGAAGAGAGGGGGAGGATATGATAACCCTCGAATCCGGAAACCTGTTTTATTACCAGGAGGGCGACCATCTGTACCAAGGCTGTGTCGGATTTATCGTACACAAGTCCCTCGTTAACAACTTTGTAAAGACGGAGAGTGTGTTGCCGAGGGTTGCATACCTTATACTCAGAATCACCAAACGGTATACGCTGAAGCTCATACAGGTTTACGCAACAACCGCGGCACATCCCGATGAAGAGGTGGAGGAAATGTATGAGGATATATCTATATAGAGCCATGCATTCGTCCAGAACCAACTACAGGTGTTTATGGGAGAGTTCAACACAAAACTAGGCACAAGAGAAGAACGGTGAGCTGAAGGTAGGGAAATTTGGAATAGTGCAACGGAACCCAAGGGGCCAGCAGCTGGTCGACTTCATGGAGATAGAGGGACTCTTTATGATGAACTCTTTCTTCCAGGAGCGGCCCCACAGGAAGTGGACCTGGTCAAGCCTCGACGGTTTGACAAAAAATGAGATTCACTTCACTATGACTACCAGACGACAACTGTTCACTAATGTCTTAGTGATTGCGAGGGTGAAAAATGGCAGCGTTCACCGAACGGTGAGAGGCAAACTGAACCTAAAAGTTTAGTAAGAGAGGTCACGTCTAATGAAGTTAACGCTCCTTACCCCTCGTGCTCTAATCCAATGTTCCGAAAACTTTCAGCTCAAGCTACAAAACCGTTTTCAGTGCCTAGAAGATTGCAATGCAGTGGACAATATAAATGACAAGCTCGTGGAAACTGTCTATACGGTCGGAGCTAAGTTTTTCAAGACCCGCCGCAGAAGAACACAAAAACTCTCCGATCACACTCCTAATCCATTGCTGTTAGACGGGAAATGACGCTGAAGTCTTCAGTAGATTTGACAGCATACAGGAAACTGAACAGATAGATCTCCAAATGCATGCGGCGTGTTTAACGCAACTTTAATACTGCTCCTATTGAAGAAGCGATAGAGTGGAACCAGGGCTTCAAAGTCTTTGCCCGACACTATTCCGATGATATTCCGGACGTCATTCTGAGCGAGATTAGAATGGCTCTCCAGCACCTTAAAACGGCAAGACCTTAGGCGACGATCGAATTACATCGGAGCTTCTTGAAGTCCTTCAGAAGCACTTTAATTCCATCCTCCATGATGGCACTACTCCGGAGGCGTGGAGAAGAAGATCGGTGGTTTTGTTGTTCAAGAGAGGCGACAACGCTTTCTTGCATTTGCATTGTCGCCTCTCTTGAAGAACTATAGACCGATTTCCCTTCTGAGCCGCGTCTACGTGTTGTTTTTTAGAGTCATTACGAATCGTCTCGCATACAGACCCGACGTCTTCAAGCCTCCTGAACAAGCCGGTTTCCGGAAAGGCCTTAGCACCATAGATCACAACATACCCTTCGGCAAATTGTATAGAAGTCCGAGGAGTACAATTCGTCACTATGTCTGGCGTATTTGGACTATGAGAAAGCCTTTGATTCTATCGAAATTTGGGCGCTGCTGCAGTCCCTTCAGCGGTGACAACTTGACTGTCGGTATATCGAAGTGCTGAAGTGTTTGGACAGTGAGGCTACGATGGCTATCCGAGTACAGAACCAGAGTACGAAACCTATCCAACTGCAGTGAGGTGTAAGACAGAGTCACGTTATATCTCCAAAAGTCTTCACCGCTGCATCAGAAGACGGTTTCAACGCTACTGGACTGGAAAGGATACGGTATTAACATCAATAGTGTGTAAATCATTCACCATTGATGTGCCGACGATATAGTCCTTATGGCAGAATCGCTGGAGGACCTAAGCACTATGCTCAATGACCTCTATAGTGTCTCCCGACGGATAGGTCATAAGATGAACGTGGACAAAACAATGATCATGTATAACGTCCATGTCACACCTATGCCGGTGGTCGTTGGAAGCACTAAGCTCGAACATGATTACGAGTATGTTTACCTGGGACAAATAGTCCCACTAGGTAAGTCAATCGACGGACTGACTCGACTGGGCAGTGTTCGGGAAATAACGGCACACTTCTCGTCAGGTATACCTCAAAACTTGGAAACCAGACTACAATCAGTGCGTGTGTGAAGGATCACTGCTATAAGGAAGCTCAACGTCACTCAGCGAGCTATGGCGAGGGTTATGCTCGGAGTTACTCTGCCTGATAAACTTAGAAATGAGGATAACCGCAGTAGAACCATAGTGACCGACATAGCCCAACGGATCAGTAAGCTGAAGTGGCAATGGGCCGGCCACATAGCTCGAAGAACCGGTAACCGATGGGGAAAAATGTTCTCGGGTGGTGACTTCGTACCGGCGGACGAAGTGTAGGCCATCCCCCCAATAGATGGAGTGGCAACCTGGCAAAACATTCAGGAAGTCGATGGATGCAGGTGGCTCAGGACCGTGCTTTATGGCATTCCTTGGGGGAGGCCTATATTCAGCAGTGAACATGTGAAGGGCTGTATTGATGATGATGATGATGAGAAGCACCAGCATTCGAATAAAAAATCATCAAAATCGGTTCAAACATCATAAATACAGTCGGTTTTTTTGAACCCAACCGTCTGCAATCTTCGCTCGCTTTTCTTAAATAAGCTTTTCTTATATTTGCATATTAGGTGTAGAGGTCTAACAGCCACATCATTCGCTTTTTTAACCACTTACTATAAAGTGGACTGCATGCTCGTTTGTTACACTTATTCTATAAAAAACGACATAGCAGTTTTATCGAAATGATACAGAAAAAATAATCGCATTCGTTTAGTCACACACACTAGAAACTAATTAATTGCTTGGACCAGTTTCTCGAACGAACTTGCCGCGTGTGTATTATTAAAAAAGCAGGTAGCATTTGCCTTGATATTTTTAACTTATTATTTGTATATAATGTTGTTTTTAAAATTCCTCAGTAAGCATGTAGCAGTAAAAAGCCTTGATAGACTGTTTAGCGACCTATCATAGACAATTCGCTACATTGATAGTGTTCCTTCTCTGTTTTGAGTATTGTACAAATACAAGATGGTTTTACATATATCAACTTTCACGCTTGTCATCCAGAGCAAAGATTACAATTTGCACGATTCTTTCACATCCATATTTCTGCGCATACTTGTTAGTTAAGGGTACTTCTAATTTGGTATATCTTCAATATATCGCAAATTTGGTCGAAAAACTTTCATCTAGGCTGTCCATTGCCGACTCTACTACTTATTTATGCAGCATAAATTTACTTTGCCACTCTTTTATTATTAATTCTTTCTTCGCGTCCAAATCACCGAATGTCATATTTTTTTAGTAATTTCCTTGTTAAGACATCCACGGGACAAGATGAGGTCATGAACTATGATATCTCTTAAAGGTTTATACGTAGTATGAAGCATTTTATGGCTGCAACACTAATGAACTGGTTAGTTCGGGAAGGGACCAGGCTCGCACAGAATAAATGTGCAGTGTCTTGTATGGTGAGTGGTGAGAACCTAAGGCATTTTCTAATAACAAGGCATTCCAATTTAATCTTCAGCGATGCAAGGCATCTGCATTTCGATTCTTAGTCGTGAATAGACTTAGTCTATTAGCTACAGCAGCAATCTACCAACACTACGCTTGTTTTCACCCTTACTTGTATTAAATTGGTAGTGCCATGCTGCAGCTATATAGTGGTTGCAGCACAAATAAGTTAGCTCGACCGGTTTAGGACCACGCTCTCACTGAATACCATCATAAAATAGCAGCTTAATGCTGCTGTGTTTCGTATGGTGAGTGTAGAGAACCGGAGACCCTTTTTACTGGAAACGTGGCATTCCATCTCAGTCCTCAGGGGTGGCAATGCATCCGCATTTTGATTCTTAATTGAGGACAAATGTCTATGGGCCACAGGATTCACTTACCATAAGGTGGACTGTGTGCTCGTTAAAAGTTAAAGACTCTCTTTCCGACCGATTTGTAATTGGCTTATTTAAGGCAAGAATAAATAGGCTTTTGTTACGCTATGACAGTGTAACTATCTAAGGTATCATTACTACATACCATCAAATGGGATTAGAGTCAAGCACCTGCTTATAATAATTAAAAAATAACTTACAAAAATCTTTGGTCGCAATCAAATGTTCATAAATTCACAACACAAAACAAATCACTTTTATTTACTTTATTGTATTTACTGATTGAATGTTCAACTGTATTAGTGAGTATTTTGTTATTAAAATCATTATTTCTTAATCGTAAACATATACAGTCGGCTTCTGAACTACAACTGTATCTCACCTGTGTCATGACGCGTATAAATCAGGTTTTATGCGTGATACTACCAATGTTATAAGGTTAAATTATAAATAAAAATATGCATAAGAACGACTGATGCAAGTTTTTTTTACAATTCTATAGAGATTAAAACATGTTCCGCTATTATTATTATTATTAATTAAA